AGAGGTTTGTCCACCTGCATCGTTGTTCAGTTTGGTTCTCCTTCCTGTAAAAGGAGGATTGGCAGAACCTGGGGGAGGAGTCAAAAGAGGGATCAGCCTAGAATCCCTACGTAGCCATAAGCAAGCTAAGTTCAAACCAGCTTGAATTCTGGGGACCCTTATCTAACTCCTAGCAGGTGCCAACCGTTAGTTGAGAAGGTTCCTTGGCAAAGGCTTTTAGCAATAGATCAGTTTAGTTAGAACAGGGGTCTTCAAACTTGGCCCTTTGATGACTTGTGGACTTCAAGTCCCAGAATTCCTCAGCCAGCGTGAGGGAACTGACCCTTTGATGACTTGTGGACTTCAACTCCCAGAATTCCTCAGCCAGCGTGAGGGAACTAGGACCCTTTGATGACTTGGGGACTTCAACTCCCAGAATTCCTCAGCCAGCGTGAGGGAATTATGGCCCTTTTATGACTTGTGGACTTCAACTCCCAGAATTCCTCAGCCAGCGTGAGGGAACTAGGACCCTTTGATGACTTGGGGACTTCAACTCCCAGAATTCTTCAGCCAGCGTGAGGGAACTAGGACCCTTTGATGAGTTGTGGACTTCAATTCCCAGAATTCCTCAGCCAGCGTGAGGGAACTATGGCCCTTTTATGACTTGTGGACTTCAACTCCCAGAATTCCTCAGCCAGCGTGAGGGAACTAGGATCCTTTGATGACTTGTGGACTTCAACTCCCAGAATTCCTCAACCAGCGTGAGGGAACTATGAGCCTTTTATGACTTATGGACTTCAACTCCCAGAATTCCTCAGCCAGGCATTCTGGGAGTTGAAGTCCACAAATCATCAAAGGTCCAAGTTTGAAGATCCCTGAGTTGGAAGATTCCTGTGCAAAGGCTTTTAGCAATAGATCAGTTTAGTTAAAAGATTCCTGTGCATTTAGCAATAAAGCAGATTAATTGGATTTTCCCATGCAGACCAGGTCTTTCGCCCCTGACACCGCCAAAGTTGTGCCTTTGTTCGGCTGTGGTTCCTTGCCCACCCGCTGCCTTGTTCTCCCTGCAGGTCAGGTCCAACAATCCGATGGGAAGTTGCCCCCGGTCAACCGCTACCTTCTTCTCTCCGGTGGGATCCAGCAGGGCACAGTCCACGTGGATTTTACCACCTTGCGCCCGCTTTCTCCCGGCGGTGACTACGATGCCGGTTTCACGCTCCTGGTACCGGTTCTGAACGTGGCCGGCATGCCCGTCACCTTGGACATGACGCAGAGTCCCCCCGGACACACCCGGATCAGCCTCCAGCCTTTTGATGCCCCCACCCTGCGACGCTGGTCTGAGTGCAGCTGTGGGGATCAGACGTTCCTCTCCGCGGAGCTGGTGTCCGAATGGTTTTTCCGGGCGTTTTCCGCAGCGGCCAAAGATGTCCGCCTCGAGCTTCGAGGCCGCGTCACCTCCGCGATCATCTGTGTCGGATCCTACCGCGTCCTCTACGACATCGTCCCCGTGGTGGCCTTTCGGGGGTGGCCCGAGGTGGCCCAGCCGTGGCTGAGCCAGGGACATTTCTGGGACGGCAAATTGAGGGACGAAGACGTGACGGCCGGCTTCTACCTCTTCCCGTCCACTTCCGGCTCGGATTGGTACCTTGCCTTTTCGGCGAGCGAGCTGCATTTGAGGCGCAGCCTTCCTCCGCCGCTGCTGTGGTCCTTGCGAGCCACCGTGGCCGCTCTCCCCTGGGGGGTTCTGCAGGGCCTGGAGCCGTACCACCTCTTCACCCTGGCCTTGTGGTCCTGCGAGCGACTGCCCAGCCGCTACCTGGCTCAGGAGGAGAACGCGGCGCACGCCTTGCTGGGTGTCCTGGATGATCTGTCGGCTAGCCTGGCCGAGGGACACCTGCCCAATTATTTCCTGCCCCAGTGGAATCTCCTGCACGGCTTATCCCACCAGGCCACGAGGATCCTGGTGCGGGCGGTGGCCCAGGTGAGGGCCAACCCCACCAAGTACCTCTGCCAAGCGGTGGAAGGGGCCAAGGAAGCTAAACGGCGGGCCAAAGCATATCGGCGCCAACTGCCGACCCCTGCGGACTCCTAGCCGTGGGGACACACCCTGAGCCAGCCTGCCTTGTGTTCTTCAGGTAGAAGGTGAGCCATCCAGAATAACAGAAAAACAGAATGACAAAGCTGGAAGGGACCTTGGAGGTTTTCTAGTCCAACCCGCTGCTCAAGCAGGAGACCCTATGCCCCTCCAGACAAATGATCTGTCCAAGCTCTCCTTAAAAACCTCCAGTGTTGGGGCACCCGCAACTTCTGGAGGCAAGTCAAAACGGAACACAGGAGGACTGGACTCCGTTTCCTGGACACTGGACGTCTGCCAGGTCCGTGGCGCCAACCGTGGGGCACCCAGCCGTGGGACATTCCGCAGGAGGGGATATAACAGGGTACAGCAGCCTCTGCAGTTATGCCAGAATGCCACCCCAGCTGGAGGACGGGAGTTCCACACTTAGTCCTCACAATTACGACCACTACGAGCTCAAGATTTTTACTGCTAAGTGAGCCAGTTATGGAGTGATTAAAGGAATCCTTGCGGTTGTGACGTGAGCCCCATGGTCCTTAAATGAATCCGGCTTCCCCATTGACTTTGCTCGTCTGAAAGTCGCAAGGGAGGATCACGTGGGGGACGCTGCGACTGTCGTAAATTTGCCAAGCGTCTGAATTTTGATCACGGGATCACGGGGATGCCACAACGGTTGTAAGTGTGAAAAACGGTCCTAAGTCCCCTTTTTTCAGTGCTGTAGTTACTTCGGTCACTAAACGAACTGTCGTAAGTCAGGGACTGCTTGTCATCCCCTGTTGCAGGTCCAGAAGGGACGGGCTTCAGGGGCAGGAACAGTCCTGCCTTTGGCCACCTTGAAATTGTGCCTTAAAAAAAATCACCTTATGACCTTACAACATCTGGTGCCGAAACCAGGTGACTGTCCCTCTGTCCTTGTTGTACGCCCAATACGGGTAGTCCTCGACGTAACGGCCACAACGGGAGCCAGAATTTTCATCCCTAAGCGATGCGATTGTATAAGGATGGCCATCCTTGCAGTCTCAGGTTGCCCTCTGTCAGAGCGTGCACGGTCTTATTGCGCCGAGATAACCCAGGAGTCAACACAGTAAATAGTGGTCTCTATTAAGTGGTGGTTTATCATACACTATCTACAAATATACACTAGGAACAAGATACGTACACGTGGTGATACAGCAAACTCCAATATACAGCAGTTACAGCAGGAAACGGACGAGAGAGAGAGAGAGAGAGAGAGAGAGAGAGAGAGAGAGAGAGAGAGAGAGAATACAACAGCAAAAGCCTTCCCTTTTATACTCGGGCTCTTAAAGGGATACAGACCCTGCTGAATCATTCATTGCATCATCCACCTTATGTTATATTACATCATTACATAAGCGGTTTGGCTGTTAAATCATAACCTTGACACCATCATTCACTGAATCCCTAAACCAGGGGCCTTCAAACTTGACCCTTTTGTGACTTGTGGACTTCAACTCCCAGAATTCCTCAGCCAGGCACACGTGCCTGGCTGAGGAATTCTGGGAGTTGAAGTCCACAAGTCACAAAAGGGCCAAGTTTGAAGGCTCCTGCTGTACACTAAATCCTAGTTCAGAATAATTATTTTTCTTAATTATGTAATGTTTCTTAGCCTTTGTAGCTTTTAGGGATGCGGACTTCAACTCCCAGAATTCCCTAGGCAGCCCTGCTGCCTGGAGAATTCTGGGAGTTGGAGTCCACACGCCCCCAAAAGCATCCAAATTTGCAAAACATTGCTGTAGTTAAAT